GGTTCGAAACCTCCCTTATGAAGACTACACAGCAGTTCGACGCCTTGACACATCACCGAAGCAACATCGTGGCACATGTCAGGGAGTTTACGCTGCTGGAAGATGGCTCGAATGACGATGCATGGGGCAGCGACAACCGCCCTCAACTACTGCGTCTATTGACTTTCCTCACGGCCCTGCCAAGAGACACGCTCAGATATCTTCACTCGGATGTGCCAATCGATGGTGTCACGTTACAGATTGCCCTACAATCTCAACGGAGCCTCAACGACTTCCGATTGCCGTTACACCAAATTCCTGTCGAGTCGCTCCCACCTTATCTCAATAATGTGGCCTCGATCCGGGTGGATGTAAGCTCAGACCCCACACAGACTGCTGCTTGGTTTGAGCCATACAAAACTATGTTATGCAAGCTCCCACTCATCAACAGCCTAGACCTCCGCGGGACGGCAGCACTTCACTCAAAACTCGCGCATATCGGCAATATATCGCTCGCTGGACAGCTATCAGGCCCGACACGTCTTGCTCTCCAGACACTCAGCATGTCCGAAATCGAATTGGGGCTCTCATATTCGAACCTTTTCAACTACATCGATTCCTTATCACTCACGGAGCTGAGGCTGGTTGAATGCCTGCAAATTCAGCCTCTACTTACTCATCTCATACAGAGCTTCAACTCGAATGGATCGAATCTGAAGCGTCTGGATATTGTGGAATCTTCGCGCACAGTCGTCCCTCATGTACCAGTTTCACCAACTATTTCCACTCTCCTATCGTCCTTTAAAGGCCTCAGACATTTGGCTGTGGCTACCCGTGGTTCTACACAGGTCTCGAAAGAAAGCATCATCAATCATGCAGAAACGCTAGAGCGCTTACAAATCGACAATTCGAGCAATTCGCTGCGTCCAGCCGCGTATGGCGAGTCCGACCTTGCCGCGATCCTCACAGCCTGTTCAAACCTTGAAGAGTTGGCAATTGAGATGGGTATACCTGTGATGGAGGACTGGTTGGGTATTCACCATGACATCTTTCAAGAGCAATCCAACGACTTGACGGGAGAAGACGAAGCGTCTCCTTGCTCTGCCCTCTTACCCATGATCGCCAGCCATTCACGTCTACATACACTGCGCATGTTGGATCATCCATTCATAGACTGGGATCATGATGGTAATTCAACGCGGTTCCTGACAGACCCCATTCATGGGACGCGTAGAGAGCTCGCAGCTATCATCGTCAAAGGCGTCGCAACACAAGTCTTCTGTCACCTCAGCAAAAAGGGATCACGAATCCAGACCCTGGCTTGGTGTCCTGGCTATTATACCAACATAAGGCCCACTCTAGACTCCAACGGACATGCTTGGCTTGGATACATGTACCGCAAGCAGACGACCTTCGACTTGCAGGGGAAGCAATATGTCGATGCTGCACCGCTTAGGAAATGGTGGGAGGAAATCGCGGAAGACAGCATTTTCGAATTCGTGCACTGGATCTCAGATTGACGGGAGCCAAGATAACGACATGTTCAGGCTGGACAACATGCTACAGATTGCGCGGGTAGGAGATGGCTTGCACATGGACAGATGGGTTTCGCTGCACTGCATTCTGAGCGGTATATGAAATTCACAGTTCTCTAAGTAGTATCAACGATAGTTGAATTCTCGGTAGGTATATTGTCCATAGGTGCAAGGCCAACCTTTGTATAGCATATTTCCTCCGAAATTCTGAATCACGCGACTCATACGCCAATGGGAGTCGTGCAAGAGTGCGGGGAGCGCATTCACTCGGGTTCATTGATGCTGAAAGGACCGGACATTGAGATCGCAGTACGCCTGTCAATGATCTTATTATGCATGAGAATCCGTAACCGCTCGATGAATCCTCGTTTTGGTGTAAGTACCACCTCTTCGCACATACGAGGGAACATTTTAGAGGTTCCATAGAGGAGGCAGCCTCAGGCCGGGCTCGTGATTGCAGGTAACTTCAGATGAAATGCAGCCAAGTCATTATTTGTCTAATGCCGTGGGAGCTCTTGATTGCGACGATGAAGCACTTTTACGCTAAGAGTATACAGCTAAGCCGCTGCTAGTAGAGTTGCCTCATCACTTTTGGTATTACTTTTCAACTTCAACACTTTATTACTTGAGGATAGAAAGTCGTAATAGAATATACTAAGTTTGGCGTAGTAGAGGCTGACGTTAATTTTAATTGAAGATGTGTAAGAATGCGTAAAAAAAAGCATGGAGAAAGAGCTGTCACGGCACTGACAGCTTCTGCAGGATCCCTGTATTGTTCCGTCGTACAATCCGTGACGAGGGGCGGTATCAGTCTCAGCCCCCTGAACATGGCACAAACCACCACTTTCACTAGCGCGTTCAGTCGTGACTGCCCATCTCGACGTGTCGAGCTTCCAGCAACCTACCCATTCATCACCTGCAAGCGAGAACAGTCCAACCTCACCATGGCCGAACTACACGATCTGCCACCAGAACTCATGCGCAATGTTTTTGCCTTTGTGAGTCTATTGAAACAGTTCATCGTAGCTTTGCTAATGCCGCACAGGTGCGACAGAAGAAAGACTTGAGAAATGTGTGCCTGGTAAATTGGGCATTCCATAAACTTGCAGCACCCTTTCTGTGGGAAAGTTTCACCACCAACCTTGAGTAGGACCATGAGGGAAGGCAACTATCTGCCTTGGTCAACCCCAGGAGCAATGTGTTACCTTTAATCAAGGAGATCAGCCTGAGCTTTGGCCCATACGGCCCTCCTTCCTTGGACAATGAAGTAAAGGATGCCCTGTTCGTGTTGGTGTCTGCCTTGCCCCGAGACCAACTCAGGGGGATCGCAACGGCTGTCACGATGTCCACGGACACGGTCTGCATGGTATCTCAGATTCAACGTAAACTGGAGCGTGTTGATGTTGCTATCGACGCAAACAGCGAGGATTCCGACATCGAGATTCTGAGAACCTCACCTTACCTTGGCAATGTAAAATACGCCCTTGTATATATCCGGATGGACGTGACACCGCCTGGTTGTTCGACATCCACCGACCTTTGGTGCCTGACGCCCCAAACCCGAAGTACTTGACTCTGAAGGGCGAAGCATCCTTGGACATACAGGCGAAGGTGATTGACATGCCTTTCACGAGGAACGAGGCGGGACGGATGGGATACCACTTGAAGGAACTAAATCTGAAGCAGCTTATCTTGCCAGATTGCTACTCCCACAGTTCCGACTATATCGACTTCATGAGGCTGCAAAACCTCGCGATAGTCAATTGTAGTTACCCACAGCCTTTGATATTCAGTATTGCCGAAGCATTCCGCACTGGAACACCAGCTTTGCAATCTCTGAAAGTCAGAGCAGACCAGCGTGATCAGGATCCCAGCGAGCTCTCCACCAATTTTGGTCCTAGTCTATCTACTTTGCTTGCTTCCTTTGCAGGGCTTAATCAGTTGAGAATCCGTACGCAAGGCGACGTGCCACTTGTACCAGTGGCCAGTATTGTAGCTCATGCGGCAACGCTGCAACGCCTTCATATCAATGTACTGCATTTCGAACTTTGGACTTTGGAATACGAGGAGGCGGAATTGAACACGATTCTCGCGAAATGTGTTCATCTACAGGAGCTAGCGCTCGATATCGACATCGCCATACTGGAGAAATGGCAGCGTATCCATCACGACATATTCGCGACGCGGGAGGGTGAGGAGGAAGTTTATGTTCCCTTATGCGAGGCTATCTTGGTACGTCCTTTCCGGTTAAGAACATCTTGTCAGTGATTCGTGACTGACGACGCGAAGTGAATCATTGCATCGCATCCAGTTCTCCATACATTACGCGTGACAGATCCACCATTCATTGCCTGGCCTAGGCGATTTCATCCTGATCGCCAAGAAGACATGGCGGTCCCAGAACCTTGCGTTGATATCGCAGCGGCAATCATGAACAATATTGCAACGCAGGCCCTACAAGACCTATGTACCAAAGGATCTCGCATACGTACCATAGATTGGAGCCCTCCTGACCCACTGCGGCCGACCCGCCTTAGGGACTCCAATGGCCATCAATGGCTAGAGTATGTTTATCGAAAAGACATCATTCTGGATGAGCAGGGCAGGGAGACTATCACTGCGAAGCCGCTCCCTAACTTTGAGGTGGAGTTTGCGCAGGAGAACATCTTCACCAACTTTTATTTCCATGCAGGTCCACGCAACGAATATCCACAACTGTGCCTGCGCCCATCTTCGCTGGTCTATATCTGCACCACGACGTATGCGCATGTCCAAGTCAGCTCCTTGGAGAGTTGGTCAAGCAGCCACGATCCCAACAAGTCCAGTCTCAACTATTGCAAAGTAAACACAAATAGTCGATGCCACGTTATACTGCGTTTTCGCCGACCTCGTCAGGTTCGACTGTGTCAAGCTGATAAGAGAAACCGTGGAACAAATTTTCGCCAGACACCCAGGCTTCCACTTACACTTCAGTCCCCGTAAAGCGTAGGCTAGTACAATTAAAAAGAGATTTTAAGGTGCCTTGTACGAACCTCGATCTATACTTGATGATAGCCTCGGTACATTTATCAAATCACCAAAGTATCTATCATGAGCAACCAAAACACGATATAATCCAAAGTGTCCGTCTGCGTCACTGATATTATTTGATTTCCTCGCCACCGTCAGTCACCTCTCTCCATCCAAAAAGAATGAAACCAAATCTATTTCAAGCTTTTGCTAAGCACTGCTATGTCGCCCTCCACCTCTTTCTTCCACAAGAAAAACTAAGCCTACATACATTTCCATCCTATCGATGTCTTTCTACTACCTGCATTGGTAACTCAACTGTCACACACCTTACATTGGCCCCTTCTCTACGCCCCCTCCGCCCCTTTCCACTCTCAGCTCACCATTCCACTAAAAGATTTTCCCACCCTCTTCAGCTCACATTCACCCCATCTCTATCACGACCAAAAAAAAAGAAACAAGACAAGCGTCTACTAATGGTCACTACGAGGGTCGAACTCGCGACCTTGGCGTTCCTGATATTGCGAGAGTTCAGTTCTCGTGACTATCAGTATTAGCACCACGCTCTAACCAACTGAGCTAAGCGACCGGGTTTGGGAGAAGTCTTCGATGAAGAGATTTTATTTTAATCATAATATAAAAGCTCGAATTGGGAAAGCAGAAAGTGAGAAGATGGAAAAAGTGGTTAGCCAGAGATTAATCGACGAGTCTGTGGATGAACCATGGAGTTGGTGGGCGCGGGGTACAAAGTGAGTAAGGAAGTGGGGTAGGCGCAGGGAAAGGGTTTTTCACGGGTAGGGTAGGAAGGGCAACTTGATATTTGCAACCAGACTGACTGAACCTGGGATTCATGAAACGATGGCATATGAATACTCTCTACGGATGCAATAGATATGATTTGATCGTTGAGAACGGGAATAGGGATACAATAGTGTGTGATTATATTTGTGTTACTACTAATCTCTTCTCATTTTTCAGCTTCGCCTATTATTTTGAAGTATGTTTGAGGTTATATCGACATACTGACGGCACTCATTTATCTCTGAATCGACATGGTTACACGATACAAATGCCATGCCATGCCATGCCACGCCATACACATCGCTATGCTTATATTGCCGTAAATCTCATCCTCATATATCTCTTCTACCAATCCTTTTGCACAGATCCACTCAGGGACACAGCCTGCAGCGACTCAATCGCAACTCTCAACGGCGCCGCAGCACCAGCGGTTGCCTGCGGCGCATCCCCGTTCTCGTTATCCCTCGGCTCAATCGCGCTCTCAGTCTGCGAGGTGTTTTCAGCGGCTGCTGCATCAATGGCGGCAAAATTTGCCTGCTTCTTCTTGTTCTTCTTGTTGTTCTTCTTGCCCACCTTGACTGTCAGTTCACCCCCTCCGGCAACCTCATCTGGCCAGTCAAAGGTCCAGCGTCCGTCGCCGACAAAGGGCGTTGTGCGGATGAAGCGAGACACGTCGTCTTGTTGGCGCAAGACTTCAAGATAGCCGGCGACCTCGCGCAGAGCATCGCCTTCCATTTGCTCGGGTGTTGCGGCAAACTCGGGGATCTCAAGGAGGTTGTGAGGTTGGGCGTTGGCTTTCAAGGCGGAGTCGTCAATCAAGACGGTGTTGTGTTGGCCGAATCGTCCGCCGGCTTCGTAGTCTGGGTGGTGAGATTGAATTGTGGATCGACTCCATACCAGCTTCAAGTTCTTGTATACTTGGACATTCTGGCTGTAGAATGTAGGCGACAGACCAAAGGAGTCGCGCGCCCACTGCGCTACAAGTTGCGACCGCAGATCATTGTCCAGTGCCTGGCTCACCAACGACTTGACATTGTCCGGCTTCGCGCTCGACCAAACCATGACTTTGAAGTTCTGGAACAGATAGCGCAAGAAGGGCTTGAGGAAGGGTCGTTCGATCATCGTCTTTGCGTTCATGTTGGGGCGGAATAGCACTGTGCCATTCAAGTCGAGGATAACGAGCAACGGGCGTGGTGTGTCTATAGCAGATGGCTCTCCTTCGGCCTGGGCCAGGTAGTCTGCGGTAGGCTGAGGCGCAGGCAGCATGATCTTGCTGTCACCATAGCGGCCCTTCTTCTCGGCTGCAGCACCATTTTGCGCGTTCGCGTTACTGCATGACTTGTTAATACGGAAACGAGCAGCTTCGTGCGGAGCAACGCAATGGAGGAAGTCATACTCTTTTTGCTTGGATTGGCCATTGGTGGCAGCCCCCGACTTGATCTTTCTGAGCGGAGGAGTAGACGTCCTGTCGCGTGCGTTAGTACGAGTCCTTCGCGTCCTCAATTCCTTGATGAGGTGCTGGAATGCATACTGGTAGTCGTCGCCTCTTCCACCATACGGCGTGTTCATCTGTCCATGCATGCCCATGGGCGGCGGACCACGATTGGGGAAGCCTTGCTGCCGTTGGTTGTATCCTGGAGGTGCGCCATGCATGGGAGGATAGCCAGGCGGTGGCATTCCAAAGGGTGGCGGTCCAGGAGGCATGCCAGGAGGACCATGGTGTGCGCCTGGAGGGCCTGCGTGCATGCCAGGTGGACCAGGCGGGCCAGGTGGAAACCCAGGAGGGAAGCCAGGAGGCGCGTACGGCGGGCCCTGGTGGTGCTGGTGGTGCTGGAAGTGCGGCGGCGGCGGCTGGTGTGGCTGACGCTGCTGCTGCTGCATCCACTGGTGGTGCTGCTGTGCCTGGGCCTGCGCTGCCTGGGGGCCATAGTCGAAGAAGGGCGGCGGGCCAGGGTTCTGGCTGAAGAAGTGAGGCGGCGGTGGAGGCGGCGGCGCAAAGTTGTGCTCCCAGGGCGCATTCAGAGGCCCTGGGGGGAAGGGAGGCGGCGGTGGGAAGGGCGCGAACTGCTGTGGTGCGGGCGGCTGGTTGTCGAAGCCAGGACAGAAATTTTGCTCGCGACGAGGGCCATTGCTGGCGGCGGCGCTGTTGTTGCCAAAAGCGCCAGGGCGAAAGGGCACAGCCGTGGGATTCCAGCCCTCGTTCATGTCGGCGGCGGGAGGGTCGTCGCGGGGCCGGGCTGGCGCAGTGCTGTCGCGTCGACCGTGGGTGGTCTGGTCGGGCTTGTTAGTGGAAGAAGGTTGGGTTTGGGCACAGTCGTCGTGGGGGGTCCTGTACCGAGCAGAGGCGACTGTCGCCATGAAGCAAGCGGGGCAGCGGTATGCGACGGGCGGCGAGTCGGGCGCGGGCGGTGAGGGCGCGGGCGAGGTGAGGCTGGGCCTGTGTGCGGAGCATATATCGTGTGTCCTCCTGCCGCCGTTGTGACTGTTTGTTGGGCGAAGGCTGGCGGTGCCGGTGCCTGGCCTGGCCCGGCCAAACAAAGCGCCGCAAACATGTGGGGTTCCACCAAAAAGTTGCTGCACTCGACACCCCCATCATTAGTTGCGTCGACGACAATGCCACTCTCCACCAAGCTCGACCGCAAGCTGCAGGCTGCAGACGACAGCTCCGATGACGACGAATACTACGACATCTCTGATCGCTCCTCCGAGTCCTTCATTGAGACGGGCGAAGGCGGCGAGGTCATGAGTTCAGACGACGACGACGACGACAACGACGACGAACGTCTAGAAAGTGATGAGCAAGTAAGATCTATACAACATGTCACGGGAGCGCTTCGATTGCTAACAACTTCTAGTCAGAAGCCTCAAACGACGAGCAAGCAAAGGCGCAAATGAGCAAAATCTCATTCGGTGCCCTAGCCAAAGCACAAGACGCTCTTTCGAAAGAGCAATCCGCCGACCGAAAGCGCAAGCGCGGCGACGAAAATCCAAAATCACAAGAGGACAAGTTGGAGGCGCTAAGGGCGAGGTTACGGCAGATCAAGGCGGAGAAGGAGGCAAATGCGCCGCCCGCCAAAAAGTCCAAGACTGCTTCATCTAAGAGCAAGGCGAGTCGGGAAGAAGACGACGATGATGATGAAGATGGCGCCGATTCAGACTCGGACTCGGATGCGCAACCAAAGGCGCGGTCAAGCAAACATGCCCCAGCAGTCCAGTCAAGCAAGCGCATGGTGTCGCGAAAGCGCAAAGTCGTACATGTCAAGAAGCCCGTGTTTCGAGATCCGCGATTCGACCCAGTGGCAGGTCCAGCACCCGACGAGCACACGTTTGACAAGCGATACTCATTCTTGAACGACTATCGAGCTTCAGAAATCGCGGACCTTCGAAGCACCATCAAGAAGACCAAGAACGAGACCGAAAAGGAGCGACTCAAGAAGAAGCTCCTCTCCATGGAGTCGCAACAAAAGGCTCGAGAGAACAAGGAGAAGCAGCAAAACGTTATACGCGAGCACAAGAAGAAGGAAAAGGAACTGGTCAAGGACGGCAAGAAGCCATTCTTCTTGAAGAAGTGTACGTCCATCTTCACTGTGTGGCGCAGTCATCTACTAATCCTGTCATGCAGCCGAGCAAAAGAAGATTGTCTTGATCGACCGCTTCCAGAACATGAAATCCAAGCAGCGCGAACATGTCATCGAGCGTCGCCGCAAGAAGGTCACTGCAAAGGAACGACGAAACATGCCAGACGACCGTCGCACTGCATAATGGCAGCTCTCTCCGCGCTTACCCAGGCAGAATCATCCCATCTACAGATACCCACATATATAGTTCCAGCCATTCCAAGCAATGACAGCATTCTCTCGCCATGGCCGCGCCGCTCCGGCACAGCATCCCGAACCCACCTTCGCTTCTAGCTTTCTTGAAACACCTGTTCTCTCTCCCAATCTCCTTTCAGTTCCGCGGCAAGCAACTTTCCACTTTGCGCAAGCTTTCCCCGAATCGAAATGACAGCAAAGCGCCCAAATCGTAACCGGAAAGCCAAATCGCATGCACATTGGGTCTGGATCTCCAAGATCCTTGATGTGCGGACAAACTAGACGGGGATGTTGCAGGACGGGACAGGGGTGTCTTACAAGGAAACGTGCCGCTGCAACAACTCCACTTCGTCAATGTCTACGTCATTTTGCCTTTCCTGTGACCAACACAACCTGTGTGTGAGTGTGTCCCAGCCTCCCTGGTGTTGCCTATTAAGTTGGCACTGCCACACCTGCAAACAGATTTTGCGTTTTGTCGTTTGATATCCTTTTTTCCATCTTCTTTGTTCGTGAGCTTTTTTACAAGCTATTATTCCCGTTTCGCTAGCCGACCGTTAATACCGCCGCATCATTCGTGATCACCTTCAACACCTTAGTACTAGTTTACGCAAGTCGCAACGCCCAATCGATTCACTGATCGTCATGTCCAACGTTCAGGAAAAACCGCTCAATGAGTATGTTCCTCCAATCCATTTACCAAGATCACATTTCGCGATAACGCATCGCATCGCGTCGCATTCGCACCCATCCATCCATCCCTCATAAATCCATCTAACACCGTCCACCCAGGCTCCTCTCCCGCTCCATGGTCGACATCTACATCGGCCCTTCCAACACCCACTGGATCCTCCACGAAAAACTCCTCTGCCACCACTCCCCCTTCTTCCGCAAAATCTTCTACTCAAAAACCTCCACGCACTCGACCACGCAATCCTTCGGCCTCCCCGACGAAGAAGACACGCCCTTCAAAACCTTT